TGGGGTGTTGAGCCTGGAGAAGAGAAGGCTCCAGGGAGACTTTATTGCAGCCTTTAAACACTTCAGGGAGGCCTATGAGAACCTTGGGGACAGACTTTGGAGAAGGGCCTGTAGTGGGAGGACAAGGGGTGATGGTTTTAAGCTGTAAGAGGGGAAATTTAGCCTGGTTATCAGGAAGAAATGTTTTATGAGGATGGTGAGACCCTGACAGGTTGCTCAGCAAGGTCGCAGATGCCCCATCCTTGGCACCATCAAAGCTTAGGTTGCATGGGGCTCTGAGCAACCTGACCCAATTGAAGATGTCCCTGAGGGTTAGACTAGATGACCTTGAAAAGTCCCTTCCCACCAAACCATTCTGTGATTCTATTGGCCTCTCCTCTGGGCCAGCAACTGGTGCAGCTGAGCCCAGGAAACAGTCAAAGGAAGAACCTGGAACTTGCCAGTGAAGGCCTATGGTTCAAATGGCAGAGGTTTGTGTGACACTTGGATCTGACCCACCACAAACACTGGCAATGGATGGTGTCACCCTTTGGCCATTGCTCTTGGAGGCTGAATTATGGTAGATTCATGAGTCCCTGGGATGAGGGAGAGCAGGGATGAGCAAGAGCCTTATTTACTCACTCAGATGGGGAATGATCTCATCATTGAATTAATTTCTTCATAATAACATTGACATGGAGAAGTTATAAATGCTGAGGCCTGGAGGAGGGGGAGAGAGGGAGATGAAAACCCATTACCAGCTCTCCAAGGAGCAGAATTCCCAAATTCAATCTTTCCATTTTTTGAAATGATTTCTTTTTTATTTTTTTTCCCCCCCTGATCTGTTGAAATGCTCCATGAATGAGCTCACTTTTTGGGGGGGGGCAGAAGAGAGCTTGAGCACATGCTGCCTGCAGCTGGCACCCAAATAATGAATCCCAGGAACTGCTGGAGGCAGGCACAGCTCACCTGGCCATCTTCTGGAGAGGTCTTTGTGGTAAAGGGGTGAGGAGTCATGGAGCTCTGGCTTGTAGTGCAGCATAATCTGGAGCCTCCAACCTAAGAACATGGAGCTGTTGGAGAGAGGCCAGAGGAGGCCACAGAGATGCTGGGAGGGCTGGAGCAGCTCTGCTCTGGAGACAGGCTGGGAGAGTTGGGGTGTTGAGCCTGGAGAAGAGAAGGCTCCAGGGAGACCTTAGAGCACCTTCCAGTGCCTGAAGGGGATCCAGGAAAGCTGGGGAGGGACTTGAGACAAGGGCAGAGAGGGATGGGAGCAGGGGGAAGGGTTTCCAGCTGGCAGAGGGAGCTGGAGCTGAGATGTGAGGGAGAAATTCTGGGCTGTGAGGGTGGGGAGACCCTGGCCCAGGTTGCCCAGAGAAGCTGTGGCTGCCCCATCCCTAGGGGTGTTGAAGGGCAGGTTGGATGGGGCTTGGAACAGCCTTTTCAGCACAAACATCCACAGAGGTGACAGGGTTGTCCCATTTACCTCCAATGATTGCATGGGGACAACTGGAAAATGCCACCAGGGACCATCTCCAGTGGCACAGCTGGATTTGAGAAGGTGCTTTAGGTCAGAGCCCAGTCCTGGTTCAGATGCTCAGCCTTCAGGGCTCCTCTCCAGCTCCTACTTGACAGGCAGGGGATTTTTTTTGTCTGGTTATACAGGAGCAGGAGAGATTTGTGCCTCCTGCCTAAGGCTGAGGCCGGTCCAGACCAGAGGGATAAGCAGGAACTTGCTGCCATCTACTGGGTGCTGCAGAGGGAAGGGGAAGCCAGTGTGCATTAGAGATTCCTCAGACATCCCATGGCTCTGAGAAGTCCTCTTCATTGCCAAATGTCACTGCTTTTTCTTCTGGTTTCATTCTTGACAGCTGCAGAAGCAGCAGGTTGGGTTTGCTCCCTGGGTGCCCACATTGCCCGAGGATGGAGTTGGTCGACGGAAGCCACCTTTGAGAGCCATGCTGGATGTTTCACAAGTGTGTGTTGAGCCCCATGTCCAACATATCCTGACTTGGATCCCCTTGGTGCAGGGGTGGGCTGCTGTGCTGCTCTCAGGTGTCCCTGCAGTGCTCCTGAGATGCTCCTCTGCTGCCTGCCTTCACTTCTGGTTCAGAACTAGATGAGAAGGGCATCTCAGATGTTCTCCCTTGGGTCTGCTCTCAAGCCAAGAGAAAATTTGGGGTGTTTCAGACCATAGGATCACAGAATGGTTTGGGAGGGAAGGGACCATAAAGATTATCTAATTCAAACCTCCCTGCCATGGGCAGGGACACCTCCCACCATTCCAGGCTGCTCCAAGCCCCATCTAACCTGCCCTTCAACACTGCCAGGGATGGGGCAGCCACAGCTTCTCTGGGCAACCTGGGCCAGGCTCTCCCCACCCTCACAGCACAGATTTTCTTCCTCATGTCTAACCTAAATCTCCCCTCCTTCAGTTCAAAGCCATTGCCCCTTCTCCTACCACTACAAGCCTTTGTAAGAAGCCCCTCCCCAGCTTTCCTGTAGCCTCTTCAGGCACTGGGAGGCTACATTTGGAAAAAGTTCTTAATATGAGGGTGATGGATCACTGGAACAGGTTGCTTAGAGAGGTGGTGGAGGCCCCATCCCTGAAGACACTCAAGATCAGGCTTGATGGGGCTCTGAGCAACCTGATCTAGTGTGAGATGTCCCTGCTTATTGTAGGGGAGTTGGACTAGAGGACCTTTAGAGATCCCTTCCAACCCAAGACATTCTGATTCTGTGACTTCATGACAGTGTGGGAAAGATGTGTTACCTCCATCATGAAGCTGGACTCACGTTGTGTACCTGTGGAACATGCCCTCATTTTGGTTTGGCTGCTTTTAATTAACAAAATTGCTTTCATTTTCAATTCAGGACTTGGCCACGACCGAGTCTGTATTTTCTTCTCCTTTCTTTTCTCTCTCTTTCTCCCCCTCTGTAGTTTCCACTGAGCTTTGATCTCAGTGCCTGTTTAATTAGTGGTTTCACTGCATTAACCAGAAATCCCAACCACAAAGCACTGAAAAACACCCCTCAGCTTAAGGACCCCCCCACCCCCCTTTCTCTTTTTGCTTCCCCATGTGCTTTGTGGGACCAGAGACCATGTCCCCATATGGTCCTCCAGCAGATGAGTACTGCTGGGTGATGTCCCATGCATCCCAAACAGCTGCCCTGTTATGGACCCATTAAACCTACCCTGGAACAAACCACCTATCCCTGGAGTTTAATTTCCAGTTAAATCTGCAGCTGCTGTGAGTTTGGAGGAGGGCACCAATTGGTGGCTTCACAACATTTCATAGAGCTCTCCTTGGGGTTCCTGGGCTGCTCTCCACATCACACTGCCATTGAC